ACTGGCGGTGGGGTTCCCAGTGCCCAGAACCCTGGGTGGGGCAAGATTTGAGGGGTTCTTTCTCACCTGTGATGACCAGCACACTTGCCCCTGACAGACAGAGAGGCCAGGAATTCACTCCCAAATTCCATCATCTAAGAGGTTGCCAGGTGGCTGCTAATGACTACACCAAAGCCGGAAGGCCCACTGTTTTATTCTCCACACAGACCCACCTCCCGCCTACACACATACACACCCTACCCCCAAAATAAATGCTCTGGGTAAATGAGATAAGTTTAAGTGCATGGACTCTTGGAGCCAGACTTCCCAGGTTCACGTCCACTTACTGGCTGTGTGGCCTTGGGCAAATTATCTTACCTCTCTGGGGCTCAGTTTACCTATCTCTATAATGGGGGTAATAACAGTTCCTACCTCATAGAGTAGTTTGGAGGAGGCTGATATATGTAAAATGCTTACAACAATGCCAGGTCTTAGAATTTTTTCTAAATTGTGTTTGCAATTTTTATTAATTTTATAGAAAGTCTGTGAATGCTGCATTCATAATTAGACATGGCTAAATACTTCTAACATCTGTTAAAAAGAGTTACCTATTTTTTTAAGATTTACTTATTTATTTTAGAGAGAGAGTGTGAGCAAGTGGGGGAAGGGGCAGAGGGAGAGAATCTCAAGCAGACTCCCCACTGAGCTTGGAGCCTGACGTGGGACTCCATCTCATGACCCACGAGATCATGACCTAAGCCAAAACCAAGAGTAGGATGCTTAACCAACAGAGCCACCCGGGTGCCCCAAGAATCATCTATTAATAAGCTTGGGCAATTTAGCTGGGTCTGATGTCACGTGTTAGGCCAATTGATCCCTACAATCTTGTGTTTGTTTCAATTTACAGTTCCACTGTAAAATTTATTTTACTGCTTTTGCTGGAAAACTAGGGTTACCATTATGGAAGTATTTTTTTCTCAAGCTGACAAGCCTGCAGACACCAGCAGCAGGCGGAAAATTTCAGGGAAGAGAGGAAGGAGAGACCAGGCTCTCCCCTTCCCCACTGCAGGTCCCCAGGCCACATGCAGTCAAGGCTGAGGGGGTCAGGGAGGCGTTTTCAAGTGGATTTCAGGCTGCAGATTTTGATTGGAGTACTGGACTGGACTTTAATGTCTAAAAGACTCTAAATTATTGAAAAGAGGCTTGTTCTTATAATCAATAACCCAAAAGCTATTAAACCTGCCATGAAACCATCAGGGGTCAGGGAAGGAGGTTTGGCCATAACATCGTAGAAAGCAAAGTCACTTTCTGTATTTACACCGCTGAGTTCAGCCTGTTCCATACACAAGTTCCATTTGTGGAGGCTCATCTGTGTGTCTCTGAGAGTCAGAGTGTAATACGAAGTATGCGGTGAGCTGGTCAAAACCCTCCAACACAAAAACAGAGCCACGGGGTGAATCCTTAGTGGAGAAACAAGAGCAACCTGGGGGTGGGTGGCGGAAGGGAAGGTCAGCTGCAGAGCCCATCCCTTTAGCCAGTGTGGATGGACATCCATGGGGCTCCCCCAAACCCATGACTGGACTCCTCCCCCAGGAGATGGATGGCGAGCCCAGCAGAGGTCACTAGCTGGAGGAGCCCTCACAGAGCACCAGCTAGTCAAAATGACTCCCGTTGACTTTCCTCTTCCCACCTTCCTCCAATGTCCCTCTGCCTCAGCCCTGGAGAAGTCAGAGGACAGAGGGAGAGCCCACCATGCCCCTCTTCCACAGAGCAAATCCTGAGCCTCAGGAAGGGAGAGGCTCTGACTTCTGCATCAGATGGAGTTTGGTTTTTTGTTTTGTTTTTGTTTTTTGTCTTTTTAAAAGATTTTATTTATCCATTTGACAGAGAGAAAGAGAGCACGCCCAAGCAGGGAGAACAGCAAGCAGAGGGAGACGCAGACTCCCAGCTAGGCAGGGAGCCTGATGCGGAGCTCAATCCCAGGACCCCAGGATCATGACCTGAGCTGAAGGCAGATGCTTAACCAACTGAGCCACCCAGGTGCCTACAGATGGAGGTTTTAAACTGGACTGAATGGGACTTTTTTCATAGCTGAGGATGAGTTTTAATTATCCAACCAAGACCAAAATGATGGTTGGATGCTGTGAGGCTTCCCTGTGATGTTATCAGAGGACAGAGCAGGAAGGCTAAACAGAGGACTCTGAAGCTGGCCCTTCAAAGTATGAGAAAATACAATCAGTTTCCACTGATAAATGAACAAGTTCATCCCTGCTTAGCAAACAGGCTAATGGTAAATGGATATAATGCCTGTTTCATATGGGCATCATACAGGTCAAACAAATTCACATGTGTCAAATGATTCCAGCGTCCTTGGCAAATAGCCATAACATAAGTCATTCAATCTTCAATAAATATCTGAAGATCTATTATGTGCCAGGGGCTATTCTGGGAGCTGAGGATGCATAGTGAACAAAAAAGTCCTCGTGGAGCTTCCATTCTAGAGGAGGCGGCAAATAAAACACAAGCAACTAACGTAGACATACATATATATATATGTATATATTTTAGTTATGTCATATGTATAAGATAGTTACATATAATATATATTATCTGTAATATATAGTGGTAGAATAATAGGCAATGACATATGGATAACTATCCATATAACATGTAATATATTAGCTATACCATATAGGTAACAGCTGGGACAGTGATAAGTGCTACAAAGAAAAGCACGGTAAGGGGGCGCCTGGGTGGCTCAGATGGTTAAGCGTCTGCCTTCGGCTCAGGTCATGATCCCAGGGTCCTGGGATCAAGCCCCGCATTGGGCTCCTGGCTCGGCGGGAAGCCTGCTTCTCCCTCTCCCTCTGCCTCTCTCCCTGCTCATGCTCTCTCTCTCTCTCTCAAATGAATAAAAAAAAAAAAAAAAGCACAGTAGGAAACAGAGGAGGCAGGATGGAGTGAGGCCAGTTTTAGATAATGGTGCCTTCTTCTATTGGTAGAACCCTTCACAATTTTAAAAATGCTCTCATAAACACTGTCTCATTTTATCCCTAGAGTAATACGGGGAGGGGATTACTCCCATGTAGAGGTAAGGAAATGGGAGCTCAGAAAAGTTCAGTGACTCCAAGCTTTCGTTACCCTGGCCAACAGCAAATCAGGCACAAGACCAGTCTGGCTTGAATCTTCAGCATTCTCTGCGATGTCTAAATTAATTCTGGGACCCAAAGTCAATATGGTATTACTGGAAGCCTGTGCTGATGGAGCTTGGCCACACTGCTGGAAAGAGGATCTCTTCCAGGGCGCCTGGGTGGCTCAGTCGGTTAAGCGACTGCCTTCGGCTCGGGTCATGATCCTGGAGTCCCGGGATCGAGTCCTGCATCGGGCTCCCTGCTCAGCGGGGGGTCTGCTTCTCCCTCTGACCCTCTTCCCTCTCGTGCTCTCTGTCTCTCATTCTCTCTCTCAAATAAATAAATAAAATCTTTAAAAAAAAAAAGAGGCTCTTTTTCAGATCTTACTTGCAGCAAAACAGTTGCTGCCTTCCACTCACTTTATCAAGGACAGTATCCCAGCCAGGCCATGGGGGGGGGGGCGGGGGAGAGCCTCCCGGCTGATGCCCATTTCACCTCAGCCCACTTGCAAGCTGGGGAGGTGGGGTGGGGGGTGGGAGGAAGCTGCCACCAGTGACATTTTTCTCTAAACACGAAGCCGAAGTATTGGAACTTGCTTACTCAGAGTTAAAAGTTCTGAAAAGGGAATTCGTGAAACGTATACACTGACCTCTTTCTGCCACTTTACTCCTTGTTATGCCTGCACTCAGAAAACTGGTAAGGAATCTGGTGCAAAACACACTTTTTTGTGAGCAGATGCAGTGAACTTATACATGGGAAAAAGAAGCTAATAAAAGAAGGAAGAGTTTGGATGTACTGACTCAAATTAAATTGGGTATTTTAGAGGTATAAAAACCTATATATATGTATATATATAATTTTAAGATTTATTTATTTAGAGGGTGGAAGGGCATAGGGAGAAGGAGAGAGAGAATCTTTTTTTAATTAAAGATTTTACTTATTTATTTGAGAGAGAGAGAAAGCACAAGCAGGGGGAGGGGCAGAGGGAGAAGCAGGCTCCCCGCTGAGCCGGGAGCCTGAAGTGGAACTCGATCCCAGGACCCTGGGATCATGACCTGAGCCGAAGGCAGACGCTTAACCCACTGAGCCACCCAGGCGCCCAAGAGAGAGAATCTTAAGCAGACTCTGTGCTGAGCACGGAGCCCGACACGGGGCTCAATCTCACCACCCTGAGATCATGACCTGAGCTGAAATCAGGAGTCGGACGCTTAACCAACTGAGCCACCCAGGCACCCGAAAACCTATATTTTTATCTATCGAAGAGACAAAAGATTAGTCTTAGAAGAGCACTCCAAGAGCGTTCCTCAGTCTGTTACACCTGAATGATCAGCGGTAACAAGATTTTGTGGACATAGCCCGAAGTGTGGAATATATTTTTATTATGAGATGGACAGACAGCAGCCAGGCCTGCAGTAATATTACAAATAGTACCGCTCCCTACAGAGGACCTGCAGACCTCCACGCTAATGATGTAAGGCCATTTTCCAGTTTCTCCAAGGCTTTCATGTTACAAAGCCAAGCAGGCTCACTGACACACACGTAACACGACTGGGAGTTTAATACTGGCCTCTCAGAGGAAAGAAGCCACTTTCTGCAAATTAAGTATCGAGGAAATTCAAGTTAGGTGTTCACTTTTTACTTTATGACCTGTCCAAATCGTTTGGAATTTCTAATACTTTGGTATTACTTCGTTTTGGTATTCGGCTTGCTATTATCTTGTTAATAAGTGTTTGAACTTCTTACAGCAAAGTAGTATAGCAAAGTTACTAAACTATTTATTTTAGTAACTTAAGAAAAAAAGCAATGAAAATGTTAAAAATATTAGGAACTGTGCATAAATGACTTAGAAGAGGGGAGGAGAAGCAATAAGCCAGGGGTGGCCGGACTCACCTTTCCAAAGCTGGCTGCGTTGACAGGCTGGGTGTCGTTCTTCTCGCAGAAGTCCAGGTAATGCATGTAGAGGGCGCTGCGCGGGATGCAGACCCCCTCCGCAATTTCATAGTTCTCCTCCAGCCTGCGGAATAAATGCTCAGTGAGCAAACCTCAAGCAAGAAGGGTATGTGCCTTCTAGTCCTCCTCCAGGGGAGGACTTGGAGAGAACTCTTCCTCCAGATGGGGAAACCAAGGCCCAGGAGGACAAAGCAACCTGCCTGAGGTCAGGCATGGAGTTAGTAGGTTAGCAGGATCAGACTCGTGGCCCTTGTGGGTATGACCCTGGGTCACTTTCGGCTCAAATTCCCAGTCCCTCTCTTCTGGGCTGTCATTGGTCTGACCACATTCTGGGTGGATCAGGTTCCCCCAAACTCCAAAAAATGACACAGGAGCTTGTAGGCACCCCCATTCAGCCAAGCTTCGAACTGCACACTCGCTCATACAGCCATTTTTAATAGGGGTCACAGTGTTGGAGCCTCTTTGCTAATGAGAGCAGTGCAGTGGGGTGGCCTGGGAAAACAACTGCCCAAGGAGAAGGCAGACAGCTGGACAGCCAGGAACCCACTGACTGAAGGGAGGTTTTGTGACCACAGCAGGGGCTGAACCCTTTGGTCTCTTTGGGATCATTATGCTTCCAAGCCCATCACCTTCTCAATGAATATTGGTTAGGGACTCAGGGTGGGGGCTTCCCATGGGATTCAGACCCCAGCACTGTCACTTGCTGGCTTGATGACCTCGAGCAAGTTATTTAACCTTAGATGTCAGTTTCCTTTTGGAGGTGCTGGCTGTGATCGCCTTCAATCACATGACAATCAGATGTAACGTGTGACCTAAGCCAGCACGGTGAGACATGTGATAAACACTTCAATGTTGGACCTCATTATCCTCCACTTTTCCTCTCCATAAAACCTCTTTGGGGGCCTATATGTCCAGAATCTGTGCTAGATCATGGGCATATAAAAGTAAACTAGATACAGTTTATCATTCCCTTCCGCCCCCCATTAACCCAAACACCAGAGGGTAGGCATCAGAAAGAATCCTGCCCCCTTTGTCACAGACACGTTGGAAGATCGAGCACTTCTTCCAGTACAACTTCTGGGGCACATAACAATTTGGGGACTTCACTTTGGGCCTGCCGCTTTTAGAGCCTGGGGCACACGCTGCTCAATTAACTCACCAACAGAAAATATTTCTCTTTTGATCACAAATTGGATTTTAGGAAACAACCCAAGGTCACTTGGAACCAAGTCTGAGGGATAAAGTGGCTAGAATAACCCTTTCACCCCAAACATTTTTGGGGGGGGAGGAGGGAGCAAAAATAAGGCATGATTCTAAAGCAGTGAAATAAATATCCTCAAATGGCTTCTAGCTTCTCTGGGGGCACTTGCCAAAGAAATGGTCCAGGGCTGTCGTAACTGTGAGGTGGACCGAGGACGCGGCCTCCTGAGGTGCCCACTTGAAAGGGCAGCGTTTTTTTGGCTCATTCTTACATGCGGTTGAAAGAAAATCAATTCAATCATTTCATATCCAGACCCTACCGATGAATTCAACCCCAGGCATGCTCAGATGAATGAAGACGCCTGGTGCTGAATGGTCTCACCATCTCACCCACTCCCCCCTCTTCTGGGAAGGGGACAGCTGAGTAACTCCTGACCATTTTTAGAAGAGTTCCAGGAAACAGTTTTTGCAATCCTTTCTGCGTGACCTAATTCCTGGAGGCTGGTATGGTGTCTGATTCACTCCTGCATCCTGGAAGCCCAGCGTAGTCCTCGGCACACACCAGGTGCGCCGTAAGTGTTTGATGGATAGATCACTGTAGTCCTGTATTCATTCCACAAATACTTAGTAATCTCCTACCACCTGCCAAGTGCTGGGGATGCCATGGTGAGCATGACAGTCCTTGTTTGCATACAGGGAGCAGATTACTGGTGGGCAGATGGATAAAGAAACAGGTAATCTTTAATTCAACAAATATTTATTGAGTTCCAGGCAGTGTTTTAGACATTAAGGAAATAGCAGTGAACAAAACAAAGGCCCTGTCCTGAAAGAGCTTACATTCTAGTACATGTGTCCCTAACATCGTACATCAGAACTCTACATGTGGTTCCCTGTGGGAAAATGCTTTCACACAGAGATTAGATTTCTTAGGACTGTCCTAAGCTTCAGGTCTGCTATGAATGGGAATCAGCCTTCTAGCTTAGCCTGGACCCCTGCATGCCATTCACAGCATTGTTCCTCTATAAAAGTGAGTTCAGAGGTCCAAATAACCAGCTTATGCACAAACTTGTGTGGGCCATCTGAATACGACAGCTTTCACAAACAGGGGGGGTCTCACAGACATGCTTTGTTTGACCTGAAAACAGTGTTGGCTCAACTTTTAAAATTCAGGACACTTCACATAAGAATCGAGCTTCTTTTGAAAAGGCTGAGATCTGGCAACGCTGAGCCCATATTCCCGTATGACAATAATTGGCCAGAGGTAGGTGTGCCCTTGAGTTGGCCAGAGTCCCCACTCCTCCCTCCTTTTCTGACACCTAATCTATTTTCTGTTCCTTGTCTGGCTCCTGTAGGCTCTTGTGTTGATGTAAGGCACGCCTATGCCCTAGTTCACTTTGCAGCCTAATGGGGGCAAATAACGCACAGAAATAGGAATACTTAAGTACGACAGGTGCAGTCGACGGTGGGGAGATTCCTGTGTAGATGAGAGGAGACGATTAAGGTTTGTGGATGAATTGGGATTTGAACTTTGTGACAATAACAATGACTAGCATCTGTTGCTCTCTTCCCGGGTACCAGGCACTGGGTATCTGGTATCTCTTTCCATCCTCACAATAACCATATACAGTAGGTACTACACCTATGTTTTTTTTTTTTTAATTTATTTATTAGAGTGAGAGAGAGCGCGTAAGAGGGGGTAGGGTTAGAGGGAGAAGCAGACTCCCCGCCGAGCAGGGAGCCCGATGTGGGACTCGATCCCGGAACTCCAGGATCATGACCTGAGCCGAAGGCAGTCACTTAACCAACTGAGCCACCCAGGCGCCCTACACCTATGTTTTAAAGATTTTATTTATTTATTTGAGACAGAGAGAATGAGAGACAGAGAGCATGAGAGGGAAGAGGGTCAGAGGGAGAAGCAGACCCCCCGCCGAGCAGGGAGCCCGATGTGGGACTCGATCCCGGGACTCCAGGATCATGACCTGAGCCGAAGGTAGTCGCTTAACCAACTGAGCCACCCAGGTGCCCTACACCTATGTTTTAGATGACAAAACTGAGGCTCAGAGAGTGGAACTCATGTGCCCGTGGTCATGCAGCCAGTAACTGGCACAGTCTTACTCTAAACCACTGCAGTATCCTTGCTCTGGTGGATGGAGGGGGTTCCAGGTGAGGAGAACTGTGAGGATGAGAGACACACAGCATGTGCTTTGGAGGATGCAGACAATGGTGTGAGCAGAGAAGGGGCTTGCAGAGGAGCCTCTAAAAATAAGAAACAATGGGGGAGGGGGTATGGAGAAACTTTCAGTGCCCACAAGAGAATACGGCCTGGCATAGGAGTTTGGCAACCCTTGGAGTTCAAGAGTTACTACAAAAGTGTTATTTTCAGGGGGTGATGGAGCAGAACTCAGAGAACTGAAAAAATAAAGACTCAGAGGCAGGAAGAGCAGAGTGTTTCTGGGATGCTGCAGAAGTCATCACTGTGTCATCAATAACAACAGGCACTAATACTAGTTTAAAGCTTAATATGTTCTATTAGGCAGCAATGGGTTGACTGTAAAAGAATATAACAATCAAAACAAAAAACACGCAAGTTTCATAGGTTTCATCTCAGACTGCTGAGAGTCTTATTAAGCAATTTCCTTTCCAAGCTTTGATTTCAACTCTCTGGACTATGGTGGAACATTTTCCAGTCCAACACACACACACACACACACACACACACACACACACACAACTTGGGCAGCTGCAACTTTGTGCAGGACAAGCTGTGGGGAGGGCAAAAATATCTCTTTTTGCTTATCCTTGCTAACAATTTCCTAAAGTTAATTTTAGCCAGAAAAATCCACGGGTACATTCAAAATGCATGCATTTCAAGCCATTCAGAGTTCATCTTATGAAAGCCATGTGATCCTTTAAAATGACAGGGGGCCAGTTATGTTTTCTTAAGCATGGTTGTGGCCTGATCAGATTCATTCTTTGGAAAGGTTGTTGTGGCACCTCAATGGTAGGAGGCCAAGGCTGATTAGTGAGGCCTGGCACATGGTGGCTGACTAAGTAGTATCTGTTGAATGAATGAATGAACAAATGAGACCAGTTAGGAGCTCCTGCAAGAGTCCAGGCAAGAAGCGATGGGGCATGAATTGAAGGAGTGGCCATGGGGACAGAGACAACATTTAGGGTGTGGTTCTCATGTTGCCAGATGTGAGATGGATGGGAGCAACCCAGGCAAGCTCTGAGGTGCCTGACTGGGCTGAGCGCATGGCTGGAGGCCCCATTCCTCATGACTAAGAAGGGCAAAGGAGTTAATTATGGGGGGGCGGGAATAATGTGGTATTAAAGAGTAGGGCTCCCAGGTAAATTCCTGGCTCCCTTTCCCATTAGCTACTTTACTTAAGCCCTCTGTGCCTCAGTTTCTACTTGATGTTCCTGTGGCTTGTTTGCTCACTAAGTATGGCCAAGGGATCAGCATTAAAATAGAAGACCAAGGTTAAAATACATCCCATTAAATGAACCCATAGCAGCAACAAACTATTCGAATCTGCATGGGTATAAGTCGCAGCTCACACAGCCTGAGTTAATTAAGCAGTTACCTGCCAAAGGCCAGAGCCTTCTAAGTAAGTACGTTTCTACCCATGTTTTGTTCCTCTTACCAGAGCTGCTTCGCCTCAAGGTATCTGGGTGGCTTATGACTATGAAGCATTTTAATAAGCTCTACGAATGAATAGATGTAACTGGCATTCAGGGCAACTTTGATGCTTGATGAGTTTCCACAGAAAGAGCATCATGATACCTTTCCCCAAACCCCCTTACAAAATCCAGAGGGTCCGCATGTATACTGAAGTTGCTAATTGGAATGTCCGCTTCGCTGACCAAGGCATGGCAGAAAGAAAGGCAGTTAATTATTTCTCTTCATATCTGATGAAATTTCCCCTTTTTCTCCTTACTTGTAGAGGACATCATTAGCCTGACATGGTGAACAATACTCCATTATACCTGGATATTTTTAATGATCACCAAAAAAATTCCCCACTTCTTCCATTTTCTGATCTTCTATTTAATAACTTGATCATATTTGAATTGAGCCCATCCTATTATGCGAAGATAATGAACTCAGTCTGGAGCCAACAGGAGTCATTATCTGCGGTATACAGTCTGAAAAAGACCTCCTCACAAGGTTTCGGCCCGTGGCATCCCGGGGCATGGGCGGAAGCTTTGTATCAGCACCTTACAATGAAGAGTAAATGTTTCAGCACCCAGCATAATTGTCCCTGCTGTTCTCCTTTTCAACCTGTTCTCTTCTATGTACACATGAGCTTTCGGTTCAGAGTCTCCACTCCCCAGGTCCTTGCAGACATGTCTATAACAGAAACTTTCTCTTCTATTTTGCCAGAAGATTAGACAGCAGCATTTTTAAAAACTTGGCTGAACATATTAACTTATTACTGAGGTTGTCAGAGCCATCCGAGACTGAAGAACCTGTGAAAACAAACTCGCTAAGCGATCAGAGGCCACACGGTAATCTAAAGCCATCCGTAGCTCCCCTCTGTGTCCGTGGAAAAGCCTCAATTCCCTCCCTCGGCAGCTAAGGCCCCCACATCTGACCCCTGACTACTTCTCCAGGCTTCTCTTGACCCACTCCTCTTACACATACACTTCTCTCCAGCCAACGCGGCCACTGATCTTGCCACATGCCTCTGCCTTGTTCCATGGTGCTCCTACCCTGCCAGGGGACCCCCCTCTGCTGTGCCTCCCCTCCAAGGCTCAGCTCGAATTTCTCTCCCCTGACACTATGTTGAATTCCCACCCAGCCCCTCTGAGGATGGCCTCTTCATTGGTTCTTCCAACTTGCCAGATTCATGTATTCATTCACTCGACAACATGCAGAGTACTGCGATGGGCACCTCCTGGTGCCCAGCCTCTGCCCCTAAAGCTCGCACCACTTGCTGCGGATTGCCACCGCTCTTTCCATCCTTTTGAGGCTCCAACAGCCTTCCCTGAGAAACAGCACTGGGCTCAGAGACAGCGCTCGCTGGGTTTAAGTCCTGCCTCCGCCCCCTTGCAAATGCTTCTGTCTCAGCGGTGCTGCTTGAACTCTCAGATTCTTGCCTCCTTCCTCAGTAAAATGACACAGACCAGTACCCATCTCCCAAGGCTGCAGAGGGACTAAACAAGAATCCCCGTACAACCTGCAGCCCACCGGCTGGCAGAGGGGGGCCTGGATAAGCATACCTGTTAGTATTATTCTAGGTTATGGTGGAATATTCCAGGAAGGTTTTACATCATAGATTGAGAGTCCTTTGAAGGCAGGAACCAAACTGATTCCCTGTTTAT